AAACGTAGTTACAGTTAACTGTCTCTCTACAACTTTTCACTAAACGGTAAAAGTCATTATGAATGAATGTCAACACTGAGTTGGTGTTCAGTTCAGTTTTGGAACATTCTATCATTTATAACCTTAGATATAGAGCTCTTGTAATAAATATGGTATGATACAACCAATTAATCAGTATTCAAAATTGGACTCTTTGTTCAGTGGTACCTGCTTTTTGTAGTTGTTTTTTTGTGACTATTTGGTATCATCCGGAGAATCAATGAAGATTATAGAGCTGATAGTTATTTAATACTTGTATAGGACTCCTATGGATTACATGACATTAGTTTGTGCGGATAAAATTTCTGATCTTAAGTTCTTACAGCGAGGTAAACATTTTTTGCTCATTAAGTCAGTATATTTTTGCTCTGAAATTTCAGTATCATTTGTTTTCAAATGATTCTCTTCCCAATAATATTGGGTTAGAATTACGTCGTGTCACAAACGATCTAATGTTGAAAAAGGTAAACTATTGGATTACGAGTTATTATTCAAGAGGTATCGTGTTCACTACAAAAACTGAAGGTTTTAGGTGTGATTAGTCAGCTGCTTAATGTTTCTCGACCTTCAATAGTTTTCCAGTTGCTGTTAATCCATAATGAATGCGATCTTCAAACCGGCTGCATTCTAAACCTTCTTATTTATTGTAAATTTTGGACTACTCTCAGTTGTAGTATCCTAAAATTGTGCAGAAAAACACATTTCCTTTTATATAGGCATCTATTATGAAATAACCTTTATCTAATGTCTGCCAAATAAACTTGCACTTCTGTTTATTACTGTTTTCCTAATTACTATTTCAATGTTAAATATATGAAGGGGGTATATTGTGATCATGTTTCTCATGTTATTAATTCTTATAATGTCAATTTGCAGATCTACGAAATAAACATAAACTAAACAGTAGGGCATCATATTGCATATGTATGAAATCTTGATGATTGTGGGTCATATTCTTTTTTTCTCTTCATAATACTACATTAATAACCGAGGGCAAAATAATTATTACTTCGATGTACTATTAAATTATTGAAAGGTTAAAAAAAACTGGACTTTTACGTTAAGAATCAATTTTTCCTTTTCTTCATATTATTCAAAGAAAGCTTTTGTAAAACTTAATAGTGTAGGGATTGTAGAGATAATTGAATTTCGTTGTTTTACGTGACGAATTGGCTTTAGTTAGATAATCGTTAACAACCATGATGCATTAGACAGATGGCCCATTATAGTATTGGATTCCTCGGCAGTTCGTCTCCTCGACTGCTTTAGAGATCGATTCCAAGACCTCCAGACCTTGTGTGGGCACTTACTCTACAAATGCTGAATTGTCATCCAATGGTTTGCATTTTTAATTTAATTTATTTCTCAGTAGGACGAAACAGGTGTCCAGTACCTCCTGGTTGTCAATGGCGTTTTAACCAACGTCTGTCCTTAAAGTAAGACTACAAAATAAATTTCATGCTTCGGTAGCATAGGTTGATGAAATCTAAAGTTAGATGTCGATTATATGTAATTTCTTTATGACCGTTTGTTTGAAATTACAATAGTAACCTAGTAATTATCGTTTCTCTTACCAGGGATATCAATGATAGTGATGTAAATTTTTTCTGAGTAATTTGATGTAATTAAAGTCATGTTAACAAAATGTAAAGAAAAGTTTGTTCTCTGGAATGTATGTGTATATGTGTAATTCATATTATAAATATAAATATTATGTTAACTTAACTGGTTAGGATCTATTTCAATACACTTTAGTATGTGTTTATTTTCACTTTTTTCCTTCTACTTCTAAATAATTACAGTAGACTATCGATGAGGAGTCATAGGCGTATATATATATTCATTTTTTCAAAGTCTAAGTTGACAATTTTGTATTTGTATTATTGTTGAAACTCATTTATTTATTTATTTTATAGTATTAATATTATTGTGTTAAGTAAGCTAATTTAAACGCCCCTTTTAGGTGTGGCACATTTATTGGTTTACTTAGATAAACACTTCGTTCGATATATTGAAATATCATAGTCAATATATACATAACATTCACTTTCAATGTTTTGTAAATCTATTCAACTTTTTCAACTAAATAAGTAATATTATTTCTAATACATTCTCATTAGATTCTACCGTTATAAATGAGAATTGATTTGGAAAAAAATATATTCTTCGTTCAGTTTATAATATATCTGTTCCGATAAAAATGAAATGTTGTCTTTTTAAGCAATAACATAAATACTATGTAGGATAATGTAGGGTAGTAATAAATAAATATTTCTCATGTATATATATCAATAAAGATGTTTATAGTGTAAGGTTGTTCAAATAATAATAATAATAGTAATAATAAAATATGGAACAGTTGTTTCACTGAATTTTATTAAAATAAAGCAATTATTTTTCCAAGAAAATGGATGATTTGACTGTATTAACATGAAAAATGGAATGGGGCTAAAAGTTCAAATGTTTATTTTATTTATGACAGTGAAATATAACATTTTTTTAAAAAGAAGTTCTTCTAACGATTTGTATCTATACTCCATATCAATGTCATAGTAATTAATTATAATAGTTGAGACCATGAGTCAGTTGAAGCTAGACTATCGTGGAAAATCTGGAAGCACTGGACGACCGTTCCTTCCTAGTTTAGGACTCCTTCAGCCTTAATAATAGAATAACCCAATTTGATAAATGCGCATATAACCTTTTTTAGTCATATATTATTGTTTTTCTAAGTAAAGATGGATAGTGGATAGCAGTGGAATCCAGGACGCGCGTGTCGTCCTATTTGGGATTCTTCATTTGGATGTATCTGCATCTGAGTGTTGATGTTCACTCTGGGATTTGATACACGTACAGGTGGAGATTGTATTCTAGAGCTTAAGCGTTTGCGCGCGAGACCGTGTCCCGTGTGTGGGATCGTGGATGTGCGTGCACTGTTGAGGAGTTCCACATTGCGACGAAACGACTGTCTACTGCTTCCAGGTTTTCAATGGTGGTCTAGCTTGGATCGACTCATGAATACAACTGTTGAAATTACTACAACCTCCACAAATCCCCATTCTGAAAATACTAACTTATTGAAATATGTGAATCAGTTCATTGTTCCTGATGTCAAAATTAGTAGATAATTTCATCATAAATTTATAGTAATTGAAGAAATGTCGAAATAGAAATAATTGCTGGTTAATTATGTCACTTGTCACTTGAATCTATCAGCAGTATGTTCTTTGAAGACTCGACTCTTGTTCAAGTGAAATCTCACAATATCAGGATTATAATCAATTAATCGAGTTCTATTGGATTTATATTTTCAATATTCATTGACTCGTGAAGTGCATTGTTCAAATGATCACCATTTTAAATCATTCATGTTATTGCTAACACTTAAAATTGACTCTTCTAGAAATCACTTTATTCAAAAGCAGATACTCTTCAAAAAACCATACTTATTATCTCTGCAAATGTTTCATTTTAATTGCATTTTCCTCTGGTAACGATAATTAGTTTTTTTTTTAAAAATCCAATTCGTTAGCTTTCTTTCTCTAAAATCTATTTTAAGAAAACTGAATAATAGTCCGGAATGTTTAAAATGTTTTGTTTGTTATATTTCGGTATATTATGTAACGAAGATGAACAGTTAAAACAAATTTGTTATCAGCTTGATAGATTTAGTTAGAGATAGAAATTATGAGTCGAAAATTCAAAATTTACCACCATGAATTGATGTGTTATAAACAAACTTATTGTTCATTATGATGATCATTTACATTTTACCAAATTGAAGAGTGTAGACTAGCGGTTAAAACACTTAAATTCAAACTAAATGTTATCAAGTTCAAATCTCTTGTAAATTGCATACATCAGTAATACAGTGGTTGCTAGCATTGATATTATATTCAGCTTTGTTCAACAGCCGTTACGAAATCCATCTGTTTCCAATTCTGAAATCAGGACAGCCGAAACGATAGACTATAAATGGAACTTTCGAGAGATTTGTAAGTTATATGGAATTACCACATCACGAAGGTCATAATAACATGGAGATGGGATAAGTTACTGTAATAATTATTATGGTAACCCTAACATGTCATAATAACATTGGTATTGGTCAATCCTAACAAACTTTCGGGATATAACTCGGTCTGTACAATTGGATAATGTTACTATACTTAAGTCTAAGTATATAATCTTGTGCATGATTATCGAGCTGGAATAAATAACATATAATAAATTAGGAAATGTGCTATAATTTTAGTTTGCCAAATTATATTTAAAGTAGTTTATTTCTTACGTGAATTTTAATCAGGAAATACGTTACCTTTTTCTCTATGTGTAACATCGAGTAGTTAAAGCTAATCATCTTCACAATGTGTTTATTAAACGTCCTTCAATCGGATTCTCTCAACGGTGTTTCAGTTACTATTTTGATCTTAAATTTGTATCACCAGTGAAGTACCGTGTTCAATTTATGTGTACAACACTACAGTTGCAGTATACATTAGTAGGTTGTTAAAGTTAACAACTACTTTATTACCAGTGATGATGATACATCCAAGCTCACACTTTCCAAGGACATTTTAAACGTTTTTTAATATCCCTGATTATTTCATATTTCTGTCAATAATTGTTGAGTGTTCTGATTATTTTTTTTAATTTTCGATTTATGCCGTTGATCTCAAGAAAATATATTGCAAGAACTGACAGGAAGTTTTTGTCAACTGCTAAACTACATATTGCCTTTACAGGTTATCAATACTTCCCTGTCTTTAATCAAATCCGAAAATAAGCGTAGATTTGCCTGAATCTGTATTTTTAGTGATTACAAGCCAAATAGTTCTATAATTAAGGCACCGCTTTACGAAATCCACTTGTTTATTGTCATTGAATTATGCTGTAGTATTCAGTAACTCTTCTTTTATTATACATTTAATTGATTTTCATTATTTCCATGTTATCTATAGGTAGTGTGGTTAGAACAACAAGTTGCAAAGGTTCGAGTTAAACGAGATGTGTACGTTCCAGTTAAAGATCCGAAATGGCCTCAGATGTGGTATTTAGTAAGTATTTTTGTGTGTGTTAATGAATATTTAGCATTTTATTCAATAATCAATTGTGGATAAATTGTGTTTATCTTGTTTATATTCATGTTTTTTTTCTCTTTTGCTTGGCTATTAATTTAATCGTTTGGCTTTTTCCGAGTTTAATATGTAATTCACTTCAACATTTCCTTATGACTGAGTGGTGTGATAACACATTTCTGTAATTTTCACTACGAGGTTAGTAACAACTGATCCAGTCAAAGCTAAATACCATAATCAGAGTAGCGTAAGCAGTCATATAGTGTTCATATGGATTATCAGGTTTGATCTTGAGTCAACCCCTGGATTAATGATAGGGAGTGAAGTAGCTGAGCGTTTCGACGGCTTCATTTATCTTGTGAGTCTCATCAGTCCTGATGTTCTGGCGTCTGACGAAATCTCAGGATAAATTCGGAATGCTCAGTTGACTTTTATCAACTTGCTTCATATGTGGCGTTGGTGATATATCCGTCTGCCAACTAAAGGACGAGTTATATGCACAGTAGTTCTCCCTGTCCTATTTTATGACTGTGAAATATAGCCATTAAGAATAGAGGATATTCTTAGGTTACTAAAATTCAACCATAGGTGTCTTCGAAGTGTTGCTTATATATTTTGGACCACCGAGTAAGCAATGCCAGTGTTACGAATAGGGTACTAGTTAAAGATGGGAATTTAATTGATGAAGTCGAAAATCTTCATCATTTGAGATGGCTGGGACATGTGTTAGGTATGCCCAACCACTACTATTCTGGGATTTCGCCTGACAATTTTGTTTCTCTGTACTAATGGGGTATAGAACTTTGAACTGATGTACATACGGGCTAGGTTCTACGTTGTGGTTGATTGACTGACTGGAATAACTTAAACCATGGAAGCATTTTGAGTCATATCCAGTTTGTCTGAAGATACTTATTTCATAATGGCTGACAAGATGCTCCATTTAGGGTGATTCCTGACTACTGCTTATAACTTCATGATATGTCTCAACAATCATATCTTTGTACAAAAGAACTAGTTGATTTGTGTCTTTGATGACTTCTTATTTGTAGGAATCGCATTCCACTTAGAGTGAATTATTTTTTCTGATGTATTAGTTTTGTGATAATATTATAAGTAGTCTTCAACTTTTTTCTAATTACTACCAAACGATTATCTATTATCCTCTTGACTGTTAACTGTAAATCAAATATCTCAATGTTTATTATATATTAATGTAGTGGGGATTTGTGGAATTTATATAATTTTCATAGTTTAACTACGTCGCCACTAAAAAAAACATGTAAGAACTGGATTTCTATCCAATCAATATGTGACTCCTCAGGAGTGCATATACAGGGGTCGAATCCGGGACCTTAGGTCTCTCACATGAATGCCTAACCTCTAGATCACTAAGTCGCCATTCATCGGGGTACAGGTCTAAATTCCAACAACTCACGATATTGCACAACCCTTATTTTCTAACATTTTCTCAGTTAACGTCAATTCGTAATGAAAATAACACTCATCGTATAGTGTTTTATAATCATTGTAGTGTTGAATTTTCTGAGCTGGACCGTTTGATTGTAAGTTTTTCGTTATCGTTCTGAGTAAAACACCATCCAGTCTAGTTATAAGTTTACTCGATCATTTTACTAGAGACTTTGTATCCGATGGTCTAAATTCCATATTTCCTTGTTCATAATGATTTATTGGTCAATGGAAGCTAATTTTTCGAATTTACTTATATTGTTTTCGAGAATATACACCAGTTATTTTAAATTGATTGAAGTTGTTTTTAAAATTTGATATTTTCCCAATTGGGTTATCATCATTAGGTTTTTAATTTAAGGTACTTACTTTCAATACAAAATATTTCGTGTAACCGTTTTTTTCTACATTGAGATCCAACGAATTATCTTATTGTATATTGTTTTTTTTAACACTAAAGTTACGGTATATAACTAACTTAGATTAAATCTGAATTTAACTTATTTAAAAAATATTGAAACTCGGTGTATCTTAATTGATGAGATATCCCCATTTTACTATATTAACGATTAAATGGAAAAGTTCTTTAGTTTGTGTGTATATATAGTAATCGTATTTGATATTCTTCTATATCTTTAATTGCTTCATTTTTACTTTACTAATGACTGATATTAATGCGGTTCAATTTTGGATAATTTTCATTTTTTTTCAAACACCATAGTAACAATGAACTCCTCTGCCAAAACGCGTAAAATCTGAAAAAGCGTATGAATAAATTGACCAGAAATTAATATAATGTTTTTTAGATTTCGTGCAAATACATGCATTATCCCATCACTTTTATTAGAATATGAAGACAGACGTTTCATTAAGTTTTCGAAGAGCTTAATTTTGTTGCATGTTCAAAACTGTATTTTCAAATTTTGCAAGTTATGGAATCATCGTGAACTGACATAAGTAAGAGAGTCATTGGTCATTGAGTAACTATTTTCATCCTCGTATGAACATCTTTAGGAGAGCGCACTCACAATTCGGTCGTAGACTGAGTATAAGGTTATCAAGCCTTGCTCGGATCTAGATACCCTCAAACCACTGAGTGACAACTCAGTGGTTCAAGTTTATAAATTAAATATTGAGTGACCCTCATTAATTGGGATCAGTAATAAATGTCTTACTCTGGGAGTGCTTAAACTCTACCGGTCGAAACTTCCTAACTACCACTTCAAAAATTATTAACGAAGCCAGTAACTAGTAAGTTAATGATTTTTATCAGGATGGGGAGTGTGCTGAAATTGTTCAGTTTAAATATAGTTTCACACTGAATTAGTTATGGAGCTTCACAATAGTACGAAACAGCTATCCAAGGATTCCTGGTTTTCAATAATGCATCCAACAGTATTCAATGTTGTAACAAATATCTTAAGACTACATAATATTCACAAACTAACTATCCTAAACATAGAATTGTGTTTGAACACAGACTATTCATTTATGGATCATCTTTTCAACTTTTTTACTGGTTCTCTTTTGTTTAACACATCTACAAAAAATTGAAAAGTTTATGTTAAAAAAAACTCGTTGAATTTCTGTTTTTCCTTTCCACTTTGTTCGTTCACTTCCAAATCATTGAAATTATTAGTTCATTCTTTAATAATAGAATTTTTTTCATTTGTATGTTTTATCTATTGGTGAAGGAAAACAAAACAGTTTGATAGTATCATGCTCATGTCAATCATTTAGCCTATCCTGATATTCTTTTTTGAAAAAAAAGGTATTGTTTTTATAATACAGATAGCTTTATTTCTGCACGATTAGCTTATTATGTAAAAGGAAATTAAATAACTTGTTGATTTTATTTGTTTGTTGTAGTGTAATTCGTAAGAGAAACTATTCAGGTGAATTAATTTTATAGCTAAATATGGTAACTTGTTTTGTTTATTCTTAGTCATACAAAGTTTATAACATAACCCGTAAAAATGATCCAATCAAATGTTCACTTTGTTAGTATGCATCAAATCAGTTATCTTGAGGACTCTTCGCATTAAATTGAAATGAGTTGCTACTACATGGACGTGGTGGTCGGGCTTGCCTATCGTGATGAATTAGTCAGGCTGTACTGGCTGGAACAATCGTCCCTCAAGGTTTACCATGCCAGGTAGGTAAGACTAAAAGCAACAAACTCAATGTACGAGGGCGAAGTCGTACTGTTGGCTGTACAGAGGTGTGACGGCAGTATGGTGTTTCCTTCAGACAACCAGTATAACAGCGATGTTGCAGCCGCACAAGGAAGAGTGGAGTTAGAAGAGATCCACCGCAAAATTGCACCCCACCTTATCCCACGGATTCCCGTCTCCAGTGGTGATGTGCTAACAAGTACGGAGCTAACATGGAGATTACTCACAAAAGGATCGTGTGTGCCCGGCCTCAGTCAGTTGTTCCATGGGCACTGGGGTCACGCTCTTAGGTCACTAAGATCACCTCCTACTCAATTTCCTTTTCAGGTACCTCCAGAAGAACCCTTCCACGGTGTGGGCAACCAGGAAGTGATAACTGCCCTAATACCTCTAACAGTACTCAAGACTGAAATGAGTCGAAGAACTATTTAATAACTTGTTACATCAGTATTTCGAAGACTTGACAAACCGTGATCACTTTCGATTTATTACGTCTTAATCGTTGTTTTACTATTGAACACCCTATCGTTTACTTTTTGTGTAAAGGATACATTAGATTATGTATTTATGGAACCATTTCTCAATGTTATTTGTTTATATGAATTTTACTGTTAGATTTTCAAAGATGTCATCTCCTGCTCAGTAGGGGTTGTACGTTAAACATTCTACAGTTGAGCATATATCCCTTAATGGAAAACATACATACACGAACTCACGAGAAAAAGTTTTTTAAGCTTTGTATTTGTTTCATTAGTCTAACAATTATTCAATGTCTGGTTGCTGTTTTTGATAAATAATTTATGCTAATCTTTAGGGAATCCTAAATTTTGACAAATTGTTTTTTGGCTTTTTCTTTAATGATAAATAATTTTTACGCAGTTATTGTTTTTCATTTCAGTATTCTATAGTGTATCCATAAATATAATTCAATGAGTAGATATTTACATACATTTACATGTGTATGTGGAAGTTTCAAACTTTATAATTTATATTATGATTATTATTTTCCACTAGTTTTGATGTCGTTTCTCATTTCTGTACATTTATTTTCATTAGGATTTTTTCAGTCTTCTTGTTTTTCTTTAGAAATCTAACGAACAATAATCATACTACATTGTCTACATTTTTTTTACTAGACAAACAAAATTGTTCGCAAACTTCATTTTTAAAAAGTATTTCTGAATTCATTACAAAAAAGAGGTGACTTTATGAATCGTTTCCATGCTGTTTCAGCTTATCAGTCATAAATCGAAATTAACATTGAGGTTCACTAATCTAAAAAGTTTGATTAAACTTTTTAAATGAAGAACTGAAGTAAAGGATTGATGTTGATGA